CACACACACACACACACACACACACGATGCTCAAAACTCCGCATTACCTCCTCTCCTAGGTTCACGAAACGGTTGATCATAAAATGCATTGCTGTTCTGTTGTAAGTAATCTTAAAGATTCCTAAATGCATCTACTTCCGGAAGGCCAAATAAAGTGCTTTTGCTTTCGCCTAGAAACACACAGCGTCTCCCTGACATGGCTGCTTCAACACTAACTGCGGTTACTGAAACCACGCCTTCTTTCTTTGCGTGCACATTTGGGTGGCATTATGCAAATATTTCCACATAGTGACCTAGATATGTGGGGGCGTGTTAGAACGAGCCGTTTTAGGGGGGCGTGGCAGAGTCTTAACTTTGATAAAGAATATCTCTTTGGTTTTGAGACTTTAGTCTTTGCAACTTAAGGGATCTTATCTATGCACAATCAGCTTGTAACACTTCAAAGAGAAAGGAAAACTTGAAATCGCATCATATGACCCCTTTAATCTAGCTTGTGCCAGCAGTTGTACACGGAAGCAGCTCCGGGCTGATGACGTATGATTTCAGCATTGCGCATGCGCCGGTGAGTCTTGTGAAAACCAACGTTTGTTTACAGGAGCAAAGGAAGCAAAGTTTCCTTACTTTAGCAAAGGAAAACCAGTCTCCTCTTGGCTTATATCGAAATCCTCTGACATTCTTCTTTACAAATCCTCGTTTTGTACTTCTAATTAGTGACCATTGTTTTGTTTTGATCTCTGCTGCACTTCCGCGTTCGTCACTTCTGAGCGGCGCATGTGCAAATCCAACCTCATACGTCATCCGCCCGGAACTGCTTCCATTTACAACAGTGAGCGCATTACAAAGTGATTATTACATTTTGAATATGGATATTTTTCTTATAAAAACGCATCGATTCGCTACAGGAGGCCTTTGTTCACCCCCCGGAGCCGTGTGAGACACTTTTTTTTTTTTTATGGATGGGCACTTTTTATTTCACTTCTTTTGGACTGAAGCACTGTAACACCCGCTGACTGCAATGATAGAGCTTGGAATAGCCAGGACCATTTTTAATATAACTCCGACTGGATTCGTCTGAAAGAAGAAAGTCATATACACCTAGGATGCCTCGGGGGTGAGTAAAACAGCCTAATATTCATTTTTGGGTGAACTAACCCTTTAATTATGTGGAAGTAGTGCTGAAGTCCAACTAAAGATATACTGAAGTGATTGTGTTAAAGTGGAACTATACTTCAGCTACACTTTAAATATATTGTATTTAAAGACCGATATAATTCAAAGGTCATACAGTCCTCATCAATAGTGACATTAAAACACATTTTAGGCTTAATATTAAGAAATTTGCTTTGTGCACAAGTGGTACTTCAAATATTTTAATTAAAATTTTTATATCAGTAAGTCTCAAGCGATATGTCAGTAAATATGTTAATAAGTTTGAACTATACTTTTTTACTAGGAACAATTTAATGATAGCAAATAAACTCTAAAAGTACACATAATGGCTTAATTTGTACGCTTAATATCACAATATTTACTCAATGTTTGAAATACAGTATATGAGATGTTTTTGAAAGAAGTTTCTCATGCTCACCAAGGCTTAATTTATTCGATCAAAAATACAATTAAAACAGCAGTATTGTATATTATGAAATGTTGTTTCAATTTACAAACTGTAACTTTTTTTTACATTTTAATATATTTGTAATATGTATTTACAAACTGTTTTTTTAAATAATTATTTTAAAATTATAATTATAACATTTATAATTATTACAAAATTATTTTAAAAATAATCATTTATTCCTGTGATGAATAAAAACATATTCAAAAATGTATTTGAAGTAGAAATCTTTTGTAGCTTTGTAAATATAAATACTGTCACTTTTGATCAGTTTAATGCATCCTTGCTGAAAAAAAAAAGTATTTTCCCAAAAATTTTGAACAGTAGTGTATATTACCAAATATATTATTTTAATTTAATGTCATTTTAAATAGTTTTAATTTAATAAAATCTAAAAAATGTTATTTTTCAAAATGAAAGAAATGTTTAATTGTTTGTATCTGTTTGTATCATTTATTTTGAGCCCCTTAAAGGTATAGGGCACCAGAAAATAAAAATAATAATCTGTCATTATTCACTCTTATGTCATTCCAAAATAGTATGCTGTTTTTATTCTATGGGAATATTTGAACCCTCTGTGTGAATATTGTGAGAATTTCAGTATAATATAGTTCATCAGTAATTCAAAGTACAGATTTTCTTATAAATACATATATCTGCCTTTTCCCCTCCCCAGCAACTTGAAGAAAATCTTCAAGAGCAGTCAGACTACGAGGAGATCAAACGAGAACTCTGGTAAGTTCTGAAGCACTAATTCTGTCAGCGCAAATAATCCTGACGCTTCAGCCTTTTCCCTCACAATTATGTGAATATTTTAGCATTATTAACATTATTTTAACGCTGATGGGAACGTTGCTTCAACCTTAACATGACATTCAAGTGTGTAATACCACAAATTGGCTTTAAGGTGGACCTAAATAAGCAAAGGTTTTGTTTGGAGTGACCTGACCTGGTGTTGTTTATCCACATACATAATTCAAGACCTTCAGACCATCCTTAACCTTTACCCACCGCTCCGTTATGCATGTACCGTCCTCTCTCGCTCCAGGGCTCGAATTGTGAGTTTTCAGTACCTGGTGGTCTTGAACTTTACAGTCAGACGATCCGATGTAGTTCAGCCAGCTGAGATATGAACCGCAGAGATCGCCAAACTCCGTCTGCGCACGGACCTTTTATTCCCATATTTTACCAGAAGGATTTTGACTCTGCGGTAATCTCAGTTCTGTTTAATAAATTCAAAGAACCTTAGGTATGCAAGGAGTATTGGGTCTTATTTTTGAGAAAAGCGGATTAAGCACGCTTTGTTGTCGGAGAGGTTTCTGCGCGGGACTGAGGGATTGCTGCGTTTCATCTCCAGCCACAGCTGTAATGAGGAGGCTAACGTAGTTTGCATCGGCAATAACCTAATTGACTGATGTGTGTGTTTTTGGCTCGGCCGCTCGTCTGTGCTGTCGGCGTGTGTGTTGGGAGGCTTCAGGAGATGTCTGGCTGTCCGTTGCATAACTTGATTTTAGGCGTAATATTCCCAATTGGGATTTATAAAGCAAGTAATCCATGAATAGAGGGTGTTGTTAAGATCTGCGCTGGTCTGATGATCGGCCTAAAAAGCCGCTTTGCTGAATGTATATTGATAGCTTGTTGTCTACAGTACTCGAGGCACATTCCACCGTAATATAATGAGTGTTTTCACCCAAAAGGCTTTTGAAATGGCCCCGTTTAATCCATAGATAACAGATTAGCCCTGAGTGGAGCGCGGCTAGGCACACAGGTTAATTTGGGTAACGTGATTGTAGGTGTCACAGGAATTTTCGAATTATGATACTGAATGCTGAGCCAACGCTTATTAAGCTGAGCGGCGTTCAGTTCTTGACCTGAATCGGAAAGCGAAGGCTTCTGGATGAACGTTTGGCTTAGTAGCACCATTATTTAATACGTAAACACTTTTTCACTCTCAACAGCAACCTGAAATCAATGGCGCACAAATCATCAGATCATCACTCTTCAGTACAGGTAAGACATCACGTGTTTAGAAAGAATTTTCTTCTTGTAATAGTAAAAGGCAGCATGTTTTCTTGCTTTTGATGTTTTGTAAATTCTGAATATCATGTCATAAATTTGTCCCGTTAATTTCCGAAACATTCATTTTAATTTTGTACTAATAAATACATGTGAAAGAGCTGATAGTGTTGTTTTATTTTTTCTGTATTTTGTTCCTTCCTTCCTTTAACTTTCCTTTGGTTTGTTTCTTCCTTTATATTCCTTCTTTCTTGTATTCTTTATTCCTCATTTCCTTTTTCCCCTTTCCATTCCCTTCCTTACTCAATTCCTTCCTTTCTTTCCCTTTCTCAATTCTTTCCTTCCTAAACCTTCTCTCCCCACTTTTCTTCCCTTTCTTAACGTCCTTTTGTTCCATTTCTCTTAACATTCCCTCTCAATTCTTTCCTTTCTAAACTTTTCTCTTTCTTTTTCTTTCTTTCTTTCTTTCCTTCCTTTTCTTTTCCTTCTAAAACCTTACATTTGCTTCTCCTTCCTTCCTTTCTGCCTTCATTTCCCTTCTTCCTTCTTTCTTTCCATTTTTCTTTCTTTTCTTTTCTCAATGATTTCCTTCTAAAACTTTACATTTGTAAACTTTACATTTGTTTCACCTTCCTTCCTTCCCTCTCCATAACTTTACTTTTGTTTTTCTTCTTCCTGTTTTACTTCCTTATTCACTTCCTTTTCTCCCTCATTTCTGTTCCCTTACTTCCCATCATTTTCTACCCTCTTGTATATTTTTTCTTAACCTTATCCGTCCTTCATTTTAGGACTCATCCAAGCCGTTGGAGATGTTGCTGACGGGGAAAGTCCATAGCCAGCTGTCTGAGAGCACTTTGAAACGACTGGCCAACAATGACTTCAGTGGTGAGTTTACACGGTATCCATCCTCTTCCGAGGAACATTAACCAGCCAGTCACTGGGAAATTGCGAAGCTGCAGCTTACACACAGGAACTGGCATGATTTATTGATTACTTTTTTCCAAACCTAACTTCACCTAAAATGCAGCTGGACATGCAACATTACCTAATAAAACTTTCAGAACTTTATGGCTGTATGATCTTATTTTGCCTCAAGAAAAAACAAAAACAAATATATATCGTAACAGATCATCCTGAGAGTGACGAGTTGGGTTTGGAGGCATTTGTGTTGTTAAGGTCAGTTCATCCTTTTCTAGAGGCAGCAGCATATTACGTTTTGGCTTGTAGGAGATCAGGTCACCTGGGGCTTGCATAAATCCTGAATGGCTAGTGGAGACCAATGTGATAATTAGGCCTTGTTTCCCTTTTCCTGCTCTTTCGACCACGCTCTGTGTGTGTAAGGTTGGAAATGTCATTACAGAACACCTCTGGACACCCCTATGGAGATCATACATTTTATTTGCATTTTAAATGTGACTTTCTATCACAAATTTAGCATTTTTAAACCTGGCATTTGCTGCTGACGGCAGTGTTGGGGAATCATGTGTGATCGTAGCATGTATCTGTCTCTGACAGCCAACAGAATTCTGTTGCACTAAATATTGATTTTGCCACCATTGTATAAAGTGATGGTATTGTTATGGAAGCGCACACAGCAGAGGTGTTTTGTCATGGCAAAAAGGATAACCGTACTGACACCCACAAGCCCTTGCAGTGAACAGTCCCCACAGCATGAGCAGGTAGCCCACGCACAGTTGCCTGGCCTGATATCTCTGGACATGCCTGCTAGTCTACAGACCTCAGAGGAGATCAGTGTTAAACGTCAGCCTGTGGCACACACACATACACACCACAGATTTCCTTGAAGCGTGCAAAGCAAGTCTTTGGCACTTTGTTTCTGCTCGTTTTTTTTAGAAAATAACATTTTTGAATTCATCATAGTTTCATTTATAGGGGGAAAAAAACTTAAAAATAGGGAAACAGATATAGCTGTGCACTGAAAAAAAATGGGTGTAGAAGCTGTTTTCACTCAGAAATTTCTAGTAAATTTCACAAATAATTATAGTGAAACAGCAAGCAACACATTTAATTAAACATGACATTTTGACTATAAAATATTTTCTTGTAAAATGTACTTTAATCTTTGTTTTATTTACAACTTCAAAAAAAAATGTTTACAGTGTGGTTTGAATCTGCTACACATTCAAATCCCATTTCTGCTCTAAATGAAAACGTGACTAAGACAAGAAATACAATCTCTATATGTATATACAGTATATATATGGAATTCTTGATTGTAATTAGTCAGAAGACATTCTGTGGTCATATATTTTTGTAGAATGATTGCTTTGTATAAATATTGTCTTCTGTTCCAGGTAACCAATTTTTAAACCTATAGTTTTAATTTCTTTAGTATTACTTTGTGTTCTTTAAATTTATTAATTAAGTAGCCATGGCATAATGTACAGTAAATCGGCCAGTATCCACCTTCAGGATAATACAAAATCACCTTGCCAGGATTTTACTGTACATTTATCTCCTAAATATATTTAGCAGCAGTCTAAATCAGTACCCATGATTTTTCTCATCACCCTTCGGTTTGTTCTACAGGATCAGTGGGGCGGAAAAGTAAAGAAACCACAGTGGAAAATCCTCAGCGTCTTCCTGCCACTCCAGTCCCTACCACACTCCAGGGGTCCCCTCCTCCCCCCTCCCCTCAGCTTTTGATGAGGACGGGCACCGCTACCTCCGAATCTGCTGCCAGTGCCAACGGTACACACCCTTTCTCCCCCACGGGCATCGGGCCAGACTTCTTTACCCCCGGCATGGCCAGCGTGGGTGCCACGTTCCCCCCGTTGGCTGGCAAAATGGCACTCAACTCTCTTCTTCAGAGGCAGCTCATGCAAACCATCTACACCAAAGCCCTCCAGGACCCTTCTCCAAGTTCTGTGCTCTTCGGGCTGCCTCATTATGCTACAACCAACTCTCTCTCCAGCCCCCTACCCCCTCAGTCAGCGGGCAGCCCGGAGGTTAATGGCCTGGCGCCCTCTCCCAGCCAGTCTGAGGGCGCAGGCAGCACATCGGAAGGGGAGGAAATGGACACAGCTGAGATTGCGCGACAGGTCAAGGAGCAGCTGATCAAACACAACATCGGCCAGCGTGTGTTCGGCCATTATGTGTTGGGTCTGTCCCAAGGCTCGGTCAGTGAGATTCTGGCCCGGCCCAAGCCCTGGAGCAAGTTAACTATCCGTGGCAAAGAGCCCTTTCACAAGATGAAGCACTTCCTGTCTGATGAGCAGAACATCCTGGCGCTGAGGAGCATCCAGGGCAGGCAGAGAGGTCAGTTACAGAGCTTGAGGAAACAACTTAACCTTGTTATCACAGATGATCTCCCAACGCACGTTTATTTTCAAACATTATGCATGGGATTAAATAGTGCTCAGTTAACAGCATGGTAATTCCTCTCACATGTAAGCAACTTAAACATGGGCACACTGATGTTAGCAGTCTCACATTTGGAGCACGTATTTCTTTAAAGAGCAGTCAAATCAGATACTTTAAATAGTCAAATATTTGCAATAACAAGAGAGGGCAGTGCTTTGCGATTGCTGTGATCCAGCTGTACTCCTTATGGAAGCTTATTTTTTTGCCTCAGGGTAAAAATAATTAAATAAAATGTGAACAAACATTTTTTTTTAAACTTAAAAAACTTAAGAAACTTAAAAAACTAAAGTTGCATTTGTGAGATATGACGTCTTGATTTTGAGGTATGAATTCACAATTTTGAGGTATAAAGTCGCATTTGTGAGTTGTGAAGTCATGAGATATAAAGTCATAATCGTGAGGTATACAGTTGCATTTGTGTGGTATAAAGTCATGTTTATGAGATAGGAAGTTGCAATTGTGAGATATGAAGTCACGTTTCTGAGGTATGAAGTTGTACTGTATTTGTGAGGTATAAAGTTGCAAATTTTGGTCAAAAAAAAAGTCACATTTGTCAGGTAAAATCTTGCATTTGTTAGTTATGAAGTCACATTTGTGAGGTGTGGCTGCCAGTGCCAACGGTACACACCCTTTCTCCCCCACGGGCATCGGGCCAGACTTCTTTACCCCCGGCATGGCCAGCGTGGGTGCCACGTTCCCCCCGTTGGCTGGCAAAATGGCACTCAACTCTCTTCTTCAGAGGCAGCTCATGCAAACCATCTACACCAAAGCCCTCCAGGACCCTTCTCCAAGTTCTGTGCTCTTCGGGCTGCCTCATTATGCTACAACCAACTCTCTCTCCAGCCCCCTACCCCCTCAGTCAGCGGGCAGCCCGGAGGTTAATGGCCTGGCGCCCTCTCCCAGCCAGTCTGAGGGCGCAGGCAGCACATCGGAAGGGGAGGAAATGGACACAGCTGAGATTGCGCGACAGGTCAAGGAGCAGCTGATCAAACACAACATCGGCCAGCGTGTGTTCGGCCATTATGTGTTGGGTCTGTCCCAAGGCTCGGTCAGTGAGATTCTGGCCCGGCCTAAACCCTGGAGCAAGTTAACTATCCGTGGCAAAGAGCCCTTTCACAAGATGAAGCACTTCCTGTCTGATGAGCAGAACATCCTGGCGCTGAGGAGCATCCAGGGCAGGCAGAGAGGTCAGTTACAGAGCTTGAGGAAACAACTTAACCTTGTTATCACAGATGATCTCCCAACGCACGTTTATTTTCAAACATTATGCATGGGATTAAATAGTGCTCAGTTAACAGCATGGTAATTCCTCTCACATGTAAGCAACTTAAACATGGGCACACTGATGTTAGCAGTCTCACATTTGGAGCACGTATTTCTTTAAAGAGCAGTCAAATCAGATACTTTAAATAGTCAAATATTTGCAATAACAAGAGAGGGCAGTGCTTTGCGATTGCTGTGATCCAGCTGTACTCCTTATGGAAGCTTATTTTTTTGCCTCAGGGTAAAAATAATTAAATAAAATGTGAACAAACATTTTTTTTTAAACTTAAAAAACTTAAGAAACTTAAAAAACTAAAGTTGCATTTGTGAGATATGACGTCTTGATTTTGAGGTATGAATTCACAATTTTGAGGTATAAAGTCGCATTTGTGAGTTGTGAAGTCATGAGATATAAAGTCATAATCGTGAGGTATACAGTTGCATTTGTGTGGTATAAAGTCATGTTTATGAGATAGGAAGTTGCAATTGTGAGATATGAAGTCACGTTTCTGAGGTATGAAGTTGTACTGTATTTGTGAGGTATAAAGTTGCAAATTTTAAGGAATGAAGTCACATTTGTCAGGTAAAATCTTGCATTTGTTAGTTATGAAGTCACATTTGTGAGGTGTGTAATCTTATTTGTGAGGTATAAAGTCACAATAATGTAAAATGAAGTCAAATTAGTGAGGTATAAAATCATTTTTGTGTGGTAGTTGCATTTATGAGATAGGAAGTCACGTTTGTGAGGTAAAAACTGGCAAGTAGAAGTCTTAATTATGAGAAATAATTTCACATTTGTGAGATATAAAGTTGCATTTGTGAGTTAGAAGGGTCGCATTTGTGAGGTAAAAAAAGTTGAAATTACATGGTATACATTTGCATTTTTTAGGTAAAAAAAGTTGAAATTACATGGTATACATTTGCATTTGTGAGGTATAGAGTTTCAGTTATGAGAAAAGTAGTCGCATTTCTGAGGTAAAAGTCACATCTATGAGGTAAAAGTAGCATTTCTAAGGTATGAAATAATTTTGAATGCAGTATTGTGAAATGAAGTCACAATCGTTAGGTATGAAATCGCAGTTACCTTATTATTATTATTTTTTTTTTATTTTTTTTTACTGTAGGCAAAAACAGGCTTCCATGATTCCCTTCCGATAAGCTTTAGGCTAACATAACCTTTAAGATTGAGAGTCTTCAGATAACTACATGAAGCCCATAGAGACTAGATACTAGAGTCTGAAGGAAACACTATCAGTACTCAGTTGGTGCAGGCGGCGTCTTGATTAGAGCTAAACTTCAGCAGTCTACCCTTTCTTTCATTTCGGTCTCAGCCTACGGGTGAAGAGGAAGTTCAGAGAGGTTTGCGAGCATTGTTTTGCCTCAAGTCTGTGCTTCACAGCTAGAGCGAACAAATCAAGGCCGAGCCCAGCGTGAGCGAGAGTACTTGCATATGAGGGCAGTTGGCTGCGAATCCTTGAAGCCGTGTTGAGCCGAGTCTAAGTTTGCTCAGTCTAGCTGTGAGGCAGTAGTTTTGAAACAGAGCCGGAGCTGAAAAAGGCTGACTGTGCTGCCCGTGCGTCTGCACACCGGTTTGGAACGTCTTCAAGGGAGTCTGGTCTGGCTGTCTGCCTCCATAGCGTCGGCTTGTGGTCTCCCATGGGAGTATGAACTTTGTAAAAACCTAAAAACCCATTTATTCACATCAAAGACCTGGGCTAAAGGAGCACATTAACGTTGAAATAATCACTCGAGTGAGTTCTGCATGGTGCAGGTGGCTTTCTTTGAGGTCAGACTAGGTCGATTTGTGTTTAAGCTTAACAAACTACCATTCAAAGGATATTTACATGTGTCTGTCCATGTAAAGGAATTACTTTGGATTAGTATTACTAAGTGCTCTCAAAATTGACTGTGAAGACATTGACAACCATTTAAGATCAGGGCTCAACAATAAGGATTTCTTAGCAACGCATATTATATGCTTCAGAAAAGGAATATATATTGCTTTTCACAGGAATACATTTGTATTTTTAATTACATTTTTTTATTATTAATTTACCCTAAAATAAATAAAAAAATACATTAAATACATATTTTTTTGAAATGTTATGTTTATTTGTATTATATTGTAAATTATATTCTTATTGTTTGTGACTGTAATGTCTATTTTTCTTGTTTTTGTAAATGTATGAGTTGTACTGGAGGCAAATAAGTTCCCCAATGGGGGATTAATATAAAATGTTATACTACTATATTTATATTTTAAAATAGTTAAAACTTTACTTAAAGACTTTATGCATAATGCATTATAAAAGTAGTTTTAATGCATTAATTATGCCTTGTAACGCACCTTATAATGCATTGTACAATCTCAAAAATAATTGTAACCACAGTTAATAGATTATAACACTTATCAATTAATTGTTACACTAAGGATTTTAAATTCAGTTATAATTCTTTATGACAAGATATAATGTATTACAACGCATATTATGATTAATTATATTGCATTATACCCTTTAATAACCCTTTATAATGCATTATACATAAAGGCTATAAGTAAAGTGTTACCTTAATTTAAATTAAAATAATCTATAAAATTAATTTTTCTGAAAAGCAGAAAAATGTGCAAGTTATTTATTATTAAACAAAAAATATAAATATATTTTGGTAAAGATTTCAGACGTTTTTTTAATTTGCAGTAATTGCTGGAAATTGTACAGCTACAATGTAACTCTGAAAGCTATGGATTTATTAGTACTTTTAATTGGAAAACGATTGCATATGGTGTAAAACTTTACTGATTTTTTGTGATAAAGGCTAGTCATTCTCTCGCAAATACAGCAAAACATCATCTGTGCTAGCTAATATTAGCTAAATAACGTTAACATCTAAATCAGCAGAATTCAAATTCCAAGGTGTTTGCTCGTCAGCGAATGTAAGATACACTGATGCCGCAGCACTAAGACTGTAAGACAGGTGACATTTCTGTCAACCAACCTAAAAACAAAAATCTCTCATACTCAGTCATTCTTACTGTTGAGCCCTGGAGATGATTGGACAATTGACAGCAGAAGTTTAGGGCTTGGTCTTACTTTATTTCTATCTTCCGCCACTTGTTTTCCAACAGAGAACCCAGGCCAGAACCTGAACAGAGTGTTTCAGGATGTTCCGAAGCGAAGAACCGGCTCGGAAGGCTCCACGCGGCCAGGTCTGTCTCAAGCCTTCCCTCTCGTGTTACGGGTTTCTGGAGTGTCAGATCCGCAGTGTGTCTGTATGTTTTTGTTGTGCTGGTCTGTTTCTTCTCAATCTCTGGCCTGGAATCTGTTGCAAAACAAGTGAGTGAGACAGACAGGGCTGGAAGGGGTGTGACTGGAATTTAAAAAGATCTCGTTCGGACTGTCGGAAGACAGCTGTTTACAATAAATGCTACACCTTTCACTGCATAGATTAGTTTCAAACCGTGGAAAAAAAAGCTGTGTGAGTGTTATCAAGCCTAAACCTATGTAACTTTCCATCACGGAGGTCCTTGAGAAGTCTGTCCTGTTATTTCGTGGTCAGCTTGTGTGTATATATGTGTGTGTGTGGCAGAATCCTTCAGGCAGCTCTACAGTGCCACCACATTACAACTGGTGGTTGAGTCTCCCCCAGGGCGGCGCTGTGGGTGGCTAGCCACCCCTGTGTGTGTGTGTGTGTGTGTGTGTGTGTGTGTGTGTGTGTGTGTGTGTGTGTGTGTGTGTGT